GTGCACCTACTTTGCCCTTTTCCCCTCTGATGTCTACATGCTATCAGTAGCTGCTAAAAGGAGACAATGGCTTGTAGAATGGTTAATGCTTGGCACCCCATTGATTTTACATAGCTCCTTGACAGCTGGGGTCTTCTTCCCACCTGCCTGCTCCTTGCTTTGGCTGAAAAAGAGCAACCCAACATCCCTTCTTCCATCCTGTTGAGCACGTAGGGTCCAGGCATCATCTCCCAACTCAAGATCAGAGGGAGCAATATTTATGTATTTCCCATTTTTCTGCAGATGTGTAATGGTATGGGAAAAAGACCTTGGGAGGCAGGGGGAAGAGATGCTGCTTAGGGAACAGTCAGATAAGAGACTTGCAAGATTGATGTCAGCCTTACCAGGTGGGCCAGACAGAGTCTATCTGATAAGGCTGACATCAATCTTGCAAATCTCTTATCAACCATTCCTTGGGCAGCATCTCTTCCCCCCGTCTCCCAAGGCCTTTCCCACATACTATTACAAGTTGCTTGTGAGATGAATAGTCATCAGAACTCATACATTACGGGAAAAGACTTCAAAGGTCTATACCATAGTGGACATCCCCTGGGCAGGAGAGGTGACCCAGCCAGAGTTGATGTTAGGAAAGTGGTGAACAATCAGGCAATCCGTAGCCACCAGGCACACATGGCCAGCATTTGGTTGCAGCAAAATGGTTCAGTCTTGCTCTCCAGATGGCCCAGAGCACCATATATCACAGTTCCACCAAAAACAAAAATTTAACTGCTTTCCATGATCTGCGGTTGTCTTTGAAGACCCTCTCGATCAGTGTTTTTCAAACCTGGCAACTTTAAGAGGTGTGGACTTCAACATGCTGGCTGGGGAATTCTGGAAGTTATAACTAATAACTTATAACTGGAACTAATAAGAGCAAGAGCTTTACCCCCACCTTTGAAATAAATTTCAGAAACACCTTCCCTTTCATCACGTAGGATGACAGCTGGGAATGAAAGCCAACAGAGTTCCTCAGCCCTGCAGTAAACCAAGCTCTAGCCCTTCTTGTAGCATGCGCACACACACGTTTTGCACACAGAAAGTCGGAATTTCTGATACCGTCGCTGATAGAAAGCTCTCACGTTCCAAGCAAGGGTGTCTGCAGGATATGGTAAAACCAACCAAGATGGCGGCCAGGATCAAAGCTCTACCTGGTTTTTATGTGTGTTGTGACACCCCTGAATCCAGGCCTGACAAAGTGAAGGAGCTGCATCTAATTGGATACAGTCATGAGCTCAGTGTGGATGCTCAATATTAGTAGAAGGCAGCTTCTGATGTTCCTGGTGGGACAATTGATGCCTTCACCCAGCAATGCCCTTTCAAGAGTTGGGAGCAGCCTGTAACAGACACAAGAGAGAGAAAGTGAAATTTCTCAGTTCACACAGGCACTGAATTATTTTTAAGTATAAAGAAGAACCAAGCTTTCATTTTCTTGCAGCCTTGTTTTTGAACTAAAACAAAAAAGGAGTATATTTGGAGAGCTTTGAAAACTATTTAGCCTAAGGATGTGCTCCATCTCTTGCATGACCTCTGACTATTCTTGCAGTTCATTTCTTGCCGGTGGCCCCCTTCTCCTCCTTCTCCCTATTCCTTCTCATCCCAGTACTTGAGTGAGCTATCAAAATAACCAAGGGAATTGTTGTTATGGCCTGTGGGTCAAACTTGGTTTCTGGGGACTAGAAGGCCAACTCCATCCAGGGTTTTTTTGCAACATTTTCAGAAGGAGCTTCATGGTATCTATTTCTGGAGTGTTTTTCAACTTTTCAGCCTAGGGCTGAGGGGGACTGGCCCAAAGTCACCCAGCTGGCTTCCATGCCTAAGGGAGGACTAGAACTTGGGTCTCCTAGTCTAGCAAATTTAACTACTACCCCAAACTGACTCTATACAGCCAAGAGAGGGAGCTTCCTTAAAACAGAGTCTCTGGATTAATTGACATGGGTTCTTTTAGAGACCTGCTAGTTTTAGAAAAACTAACAAGTAGAGGAGATGTGTGTGATGGAGAGCCCAAAGCTACAGGTTAAATCAAAATATGGAAGGAGATCATAGGGTGTTCAGATGAGGCTTCATGTAATACTATGTAGATTTCAGGTTATATCCAGCATTTATGGGATGAAGAAACATGTAATGGTTGATCTCCTGTTTTGGCAGATAAGAAGTGCACTGATCTTCCATTTCAGTTTCCATCTGGACAAAACTCTGTAGGCATAATTGTGGAAAATAATGAAGGTTCGGTTTTGCAAATCTCAAGCACAGAACTTCAGTTTGAAAAGGTTTTAGGGGCAGAGAAATTGGGAAATCCTCAACTTCCATCCTGGATTTTCAGCTTTATCCAAATTATGAATCTGGAATGCTTTTGAAGTATGCTATGGGGCCATTTGCCCGGCTTTCACTCCATCGTTCAAATTCTCTTGGGGAAAATTTCATCCTTAAACCAAATTGAAACTTCCAAGTAATATGCCAGAAGAGTCCCAGTTCTAAGGTCCTCCCAGACCTTCTCTTTGGGGAAGGGTAGGAGATGTTTAGCATTCTCTACCTTTGGCCACACTGGCACCAGTGTGTCAACGAGAACCAAAGCTCAAAGAACTTGGATTCATTTCATTTGCATTGACATTGAATTAAGCTGAATAGAGTTGATACGATTACGCTCCAGCCACATATTTAGTAATTTCCTCCTTGTGTCATATTAAAAATTGCACTTTGGTCACAACTTCTGGAGGTCTCTGAGGCCCATGCTCAGGTTTTTGGAACTATCACTCCTTGAAACTGGCACCAAAAAGGGGGAAGAGAAGAGATTACGCTTGCCGTTATCCTCCACAGTTAAGCGAAGTGGCTGATCTTAAGGCCCAGTGTTAAGCATGGTTTTAGGATGTTAGGCCAGGCCTGGGAAAGAGCCAGGTTCAACCATCATAAAGATCCCTGGGCAGCATTCAACCAGTCACACGTTCAGCAGGCCAGTTCTTCAAAGCCGGCAACTACAGATACAATCAGAGGAAGGGAATCTTTTGCTGTCCTTGTCAATGCAGACTTTAAAAGATGGGCAGCATGTCACCAAAAGGCATTGTGCAGCTGTCCTGCTCCTTTGAGTCCCTTCCCAGGCAAGATTCTCTGCATTTCTGACGGATTGCACCCGTTCACCCAGAATCCCCGTTCCGTGGCCTGAATCACCAACTTCAATTAAACTGGTGTCCCTGGATTCTCCTCACACAAACTGCTTACTGACCGTTCCCCCTGCACAACCTCCTTGGTCTGGACTGCCTTGAATGAAATGAAAAAATCCAGGAGTGTCAAATATAACGTTCCTGAATCAAGTCATATTTTGGCTGCAAGTTCTCAGACTGCAAATTGGGTGGGCTTATCATCTGCTTTAAACTTCAATAGAGGGGCCCAAATCACCAACATTTCATTAAAGAGACCCTAAAGCAGGGGGTGTTTGTGTGGGGGGGGGGTTCAAAAAAGTCAAGATGTCAGACTGAAAAAAAAGGCAGTGTAGCTGTCCTTCCTGCAGATGGGGTACCATCTTGACTGTTTTTCACCCCCCGTCAGTGTCCCTGATCAATAGCATTGATTAAATTTTCCATACCGCAAGTATCCAGCAAAGAGAAAACTTGCAAACCATTTTCAAAGTGAGCAGGAAAGGGGAGGGAGAAAGACAGGTTAAACTGCTGAGAGTGAAGCCAACCATTTCCTACAGCACTTGAAAAATGGGTATATGTTTCCTTCTGTGGAAAATTTAAACAAGAGGAAGAAGTGAAGGGAGGGGAAGAGGCGAATGAATGAACAAACACCTGGCCAGGATGGTGTAAATACGCATCCAAATTCATCACTAAGATGCTTGCTTCTCAACAAAAAGTAAAATTTAAAAAATCTCCAGCAGTATGACATGAGTTGGGAAGGAAAGCCAAAAGTGCTGGTCATGGAGGAGGAAGAGGGCTAATGCAGGTGGGCTTTCAGGAGCAGGCGGTGGGACATGTGTCTCTGGATGCCCCCTGAGAAACCATGCACATTCCCAGCAGTGTTCTGAACGTTGCAGGTAAGACATTTAAGCAGCTTGAGGGCCCCATTGTGATTAATCTCTTGCAGGTTCTCCTACTACACCGAGTCTAATGTTGGCAAGCAACCATCCCTTTTACTGCTGGCTAATGCTAAATTGCCCTATGATGTCTTGAGATAATAACAATAAGATTACATTTAAACACTCTGCTTTGCAGAGTAGCGCAGGCTTCTGTAGATAGGCGCCTACAGATCTCACAGTGGAAGGGTCATCCATGGGTTGGACATTAAGGGGTGGAGAGAGGCAAATACGGGGGAAGTGGTGTCTCCTCACTGGGGAAAAGAGGAAATAAAGTAAAAATAGGATTTTATCCTCTGCGGAGATCACTAGCAAGGACTGCGCATGTTTTAATGGCATGAAGGAACCGAAGGAAGAAACCCGCTCCTATCAGCTGCTTTTGCAGTAATGCTGATTTGAACATCCCCAGGAGAGAGACATGAATTCCAAAACGTGCTGCATCTGCAGTCCACCCTCAGCTCCCGGGATGCTCCATGGCTGATGGACCCCAAATGGGTGTTCAGTTGCTTGGCAGTGACCTCTGAGGAGATCCAGGGAGATGGCTGTGCATGCTCCTTGACACCTGATGTGGCGCCTTCCTCCATGGGCGGTGGGGCGGGATGGTGCATCGTGCGCGCATAATGTCATATAACCGTCACAACAAGACCCTTTTAACCATGAGAGCTGTGGAACTGAAGGGTTGTTTTTCTTCCTACCAAATGTTCAGGAAATGACTTGCACATGAGTTTGGATGAACAGATGGTTTGGCGAGACAGTGGTTCGGACATTCCCGAGGCGTAACTGGTGGGTTGCCGTGCTGTGTGCGTTGAGGGCTAGGTCTCCAACCTCCCCCCCCTCCCTTGAGGCTTGGTGGCTCCCGCCTGCTAAGAGGCCAAGCCCGGCTCTTGTCTTGCAGACTACGTGAAGGAATCCGCCCACAGCTCCAGCTCCTCTTCCCTCAACAGCAGCGAAAACCCCTACGCCACCATCAGAGACCCCCCCATCCTGACCCGCAAACCGCCTGAGAACAGCTATGTGGAAATGAAGTCTCCTGCCCACCGGGACGCGTCGTATTTGGACATGCCAACCTCTTCGCCCGCTCACAAAAACATATACGACGTTGGTAAGTCCCTGGCTGGAAGAGCAGCTTGAGGAGCGGGCAGGCTGCAACGGGCAACCAGGGCTGGATTGGGCAGTGATGCCAAGAAAGTGGGCTTGGCCAGGCACGTTCACAGGACCAGGGTTTTCAGTCTGCCCTTGCTTCAGGGCAAGAAGAGGTTCTCTCTTGGTTGAATTATATTCAGCCTATTTTAGGGTGGACATGGCAGGTGTTGAGTATCTGTTGCCCCAACAGATAGGAAACCAGGAGCCCAACCAGGAGGCCTCCGAGGGCCCAATGTGGCCCTGGGCCAGGGGCTGCCCACCTCTGCAGAAAGAAGCAGTGCTGCGGGTTGCTGGACTGTTGTGCTTGAGGCGAATTCTGTCCCAGCTGTTGTGTTAGCTGCATCTGGCAATCTGTACATTGGATATTTGGACATCCACTGGCTGCTGGTGTTGCAGCGAGCTGTTCAGCAGATAGAGGTGTACCCTGAGGATCGGAGGCCATTTCTAAAACTCCAAGTGGGATCTTCTGCCTCCCTTAGAAAGAGGGTAGGAGACTTGCAAGATTGATGCCAGCCCTTCAAGGTAGTCCAGACAGGAAACCAAAACCATGAGTATGGATACTACCTTTATTGTAAGGTTACAGGAACAGAGTCTTGCAAGTCTGAAAGTGCTTCCCCCCTCCCCTGCCTTTACTTTCCAGAGAACTAGGGAGGGTCCCTTCTGCAATGCTTCCCACACCCCCATTCCTTCTTTGGGCTGAGGTATCTTTTGCCTGACTGTTGCCTAGGCTGCGGATCTTCCTCCTGTCTTCCCAGGTTATTCTCACAGTCCATTACAGGCAGGTTGGCAGGTTGGGGAGCCTCATCTCTTGGGTCGCCCAACTGTGTTCTTCCTTTGGGCTCACTAACACATGGAGGGCGGTCATGGGGTCTGGGTTAAAAAAATCAAGATAGCAGCATGACCACGAAGTTGAAGCTCCTCCCCTTTTAATGTGCATCCATGGCATTTGTTTATGGGCTTTGTGACATTTTTGACCACCACCCCATGGACACCTACCCAAGGGTGGTTCTGTTGAATGGTGTCACAAAGAGGCTTGTAAGGAGCAGCACCTTCTAAGTATCACGCCCCAGGCCCCTTCTTGTGCTATTCCCTCTTATTCATCTAGAGGAGTGATTCTCAACCTTGGCAACTTTAAGATGAGCAGACTTCATGTCTGGCTGGGGAATTCTGGGAGTTGAAGTCTACTCATCTTAAAGTTGCCAAGGTTGAGAAACACTGATCTAGGAGAATCAATGACCCCTTTTCCCAGTCTCAAAGAAAGCCATTACCCCCACAAAAAAACTCAGACTCCACTGCCCCCAGGATATGCTCAAATTGCCCCCTTTGTACTGTCCTTACGTTGGGAGTAATTAACCCCAGTTTACGAACCACTAATCTAGAGATTCAGGACGTGTGGAAACAAATACAAGTTTTTGACTGTTCCAATACCAACAATTACAAATCAATATGTATGTTAGATATATAAATCGTTACGCTGGTAACAATATTAAATGATGATGACAACGATGACGATGACGATGATGATGGAATGTGGTTAATGTCATTGGACTAATAATCCATTCTGATTTCTCTGGGTCAGAGCCCACGTACATTGCTACTGGATTTGAAAGAAGACCATCCCGTATTAGGGTTTAAGAGAGAACTTTAAACAGACTTATTTTTCCAGGCCATTTAACGCTACTGTTTTCCTCTCTGTGTTTTATATCTTTTATGTTTGTACTGTTACGTTTATAGACTTTTCTTTCTTGAACTATTCCATCAGTAAGTCATCTGATGGCACGTATACAATATTTCCCATTTCCTATAGGTATTTGTATTTGGGAAACCCCTGTAATATATAAAGAGGAACAAAACATCCCAATATAGTTTTACTATATGTGATTTTCTTCTGACACACATTCGGCACATCCAGTTTGGGATTTTATTAGCAGAGCAAAGAAAATGAGCCGAGCGTGTTTGGGAATGCATGTTCAGCCCCTCCTGTTTTCTTCTTTGGGTTGCAGAGATTTTAGAAAACTCGTGTTCACGGACCTTGTATATCTATATAGCCACATCCCCTGCAACCTCAACAGGTTTATTTAAAATCAGCAGAAAGTGAGGTTTGGAGTAACTTGAAAGTTGCAAGTACAGATTTCCTTGGCGTGTTTCTCAAACACTTTTGCAGAATTGCAGCAAATGGCCAGACATGGGAATGAAACTCCCAGCTTAGTATCAGATTTCTTTTTTGAGTACCAATGTGGTTTAAACCAATGTTTCTCAACCTTGGCAGTTTTTAGATGTGTGGACTTCAACTCCCAGCATGCCTCAATCAGCCTGCTAGCTGGGGAATGCTGGGAATTGAAGCCTACACATCTTAAAGTTGCCATAGTTGAGAAACACTGGTTTAAAGGAAAGTCTCTTGTGTTCGGTGTTATTATTATGTTCCCATCTAGCTCTCTCCAAACCATACTTTTTAAATTTATGTATTTAAATTTATGTATTTAAAACATTTATATAGCCACCCATCTTATACTGAACTCTGGGTGGCTCCCAAGTCTTACCTAGAAGCCCCCAAAGGCTATAAAAATAGAAAAGGATGGTTCTACAGTTAATCCTTGTTCTGAACATTTTGGAAGGTGCAAATGTGACATCTTGAACAGGTTATGCTTCCTCTTTCTTCGGCGAGGAGACACGGGTTCAAATGCTACGGCTTCTTTTGTTTAGCTTAGCGGGTAATGTAAACTGCCCATTGTGGTTCGTAAGTCATGCTTTTATGGCTTAACATTACTGTATGTGCAAACCCAGCCAGCTGATTTAATAAGCCATGGGTTACTTAGTGGAATACATGACCCAGTCAGTGGGGGAATAAAAGATCATTAATGGAGTAATCTCTTGTCTACCAATGCTCAGTCCGTGAGTTTTTTAGCCAGACAGCAAAAAGGAACCGGCTGAATTACTAATGTGTCTTAGCAATAATACTGTAATTTGGTCACTCCACTCAGGAGCGTTAACCTCTTCCGAGCACAATTCCTGAGACTTCTGAACTGGAAAAACCAAAACGGTTAAAAGTGCTCTGGAGCTGATAAACTATGTGGACACAGTTGCAGGAGCATAGTAAAAGTGTGTGATCCCAAACCCCGAGTTAAACTATGGTTAGGGAGAAACGTTCTCACCATCATTGGCACTCTAGTTTGTAGCAGGTTTATTTATCTCTGTTATGCAGAGTGCAGCTATAACCACAGGTCATGCGAAAAATACACACCAGCGTTAGA